TCACTGGGAGTTTCATCCGGCGATGAAAACCTCACTAGGAGTTTTATCCAGTTGGGTGTAACTCACTAGGAGTTTTATCCGGGTTGTGAAACTCACTAGGAGTTTATATTTTGTGTAAACTCAAGGAGATTTACCAGGTTGGTGAAAAACCACTGGAGTTACCAGGTTATGTAAACTCCTAGGAATTCTCCGGGTTTGATGTAAACTCACTAGGAGTTTTACCCGGTTGTGTAAACTCACTAGGGTTTTATCCGGTTGTGTAAACTCACGGAGTTTTACCATTTTGTGAAAACCCTAGGAATTTACCCGGGGTTTTGTGAAAAACTCACTGGGAGATTCATCCAGGTTGTGTAAATCATTAGGAATTCACGGGTTGGTTAAACTCACTAGAGATTCTCCGGGTTTGGGAAACTCATTTGAGATTATCCTTTTGTTTAAAAATCACTAGGAATTTTATTAGTTGTTATTAGGGTTATCGTATTACTCCGGATTTCCCAAAGGTGTAATCCCCCCCTAGAAAACCCCCCAAGGAGGGTAATATAAGTTTTAGTTGTTAAAAAATTTTCACTTGGGGGTCTCCGGTTGGGGATTTAATTCCAAGTTCCTTTCCAGGTTGGGGAATGAAAAACCTCACTTTTTTTTCCCCGGGGTTGATTAACTACCTAGGAGATCGGTTAAAGGGGAAACCCAGAAAATTCAGCCTTTATTTAACCCCTGGTTCCGGAAAAAAAGGGACCCCACCAGTGGTTTTGTAAACCCAAGAATTTTCTTGTGAAACTCAACTGGATATCTCCTTGAATCACTAAATTTCTTTGGGGTGATTTTTTTTTAAACCAAAAAAAGGGTATCCAAATTATGTCTCCTAGGAGTTTTATCCAGGTGATTAAATCCTAGGAGATTTATCCAGGTTGATTAAACCACTAGGAGTTTACCCATTTTTGTGAAAACTCCTAGGAGTTTATCCATTTTGAAACTCACTAGGATTTTATCCGGGTTTTTGGAAAACCACTGGGAGATTTATCCGGGTTGATGAAACTCCAAAGAGATTCATTCAGGTTGAGTAAATTTACTAGGAGCATTCGGGTTGGTAAACTCACTGGGAATTTCACCAGGTTATTTTTATGTCAGAATTGTAAAAGAAAACCTCATTAAATGATTTTGCGGCACGGTTTCCCAACCCGCTCACCATCATGACGTTTCCACTGGTATTTTTTTTTTCCATGGTTTGCTTTTGTGGTTTCGACTGCCCATAATTCTCCCTACATGACGTTGTTTGTGCTCTTATCGTCTCCAAACTTTTGAGCCCCTTTTCCCCCTACATACGGTTTGTGTCTCTTTAGTCTTCTCCAAACTTGTGATTTCCCCCAATTCCCCTACTGACGTTTTTGTGTCTCTCTTTCTGTCCCCAAATTTGTGATGCCCCCAATTCTCCCTACATGACATGGTTTGTTCTCTTAGTCTGTCTCCTAACTTTATTCCCCCCAATTCTCCCTCATGACACGGTTTTGTCATTTATAGTGTAGCAACAGTTGAAAACTATACTGTCAACTATAATTTAACCCTATATTGTATACTAAATATTGTAAACCACAATTGTAAACTAATACTGTCAACTCTAATTTAACTATTTTGTATCTACCTATATGTAAGCCCAATGTAAACTATACTGTCACTATAATGTTAACTATTTTTGTATACTTACCTATTGTAGCCACAATTGTAAACTGTACTGTCAACTATAATCACCGCAGCCATCTGCACTCACAACCATTCAACACTTCTGACGGGAGCTAAGGGAACCAGCAAGGTCGGGATGGGCAAGTCGGGACATTCAGAAAGTCCGAAGAATAAATATGGCCATCTGACAGCCGCAGCTCGAGCCAACAACAGCGAGAATCGCCTCATGTCCAGTATTAAGCTCTGTTCTACTAGGTTCAGATTGCTATCAAGTCTCCCTACGTGCAACGAGGTAAGTGCACACTTAAAAATAGGGTCTAAAAAAACATCTTTTGCAACTGTTTCCATGTATTAGGTTCTTAGCTTGGTTGGGTCTGGAAGAAGCTCTGACAGGCCGCGAACAGGCACTTCTCTTCTGATCCAACAGATTCTTCAGCTTCTTAAATTCAAACATATCACTGTCATTTTTTCCTTTGGCGTTAATAAAGCAGGTCAGAGAGGAGTATGTCTGCATGGACAACTTGTGACTTGCCCCAATCCTCACTACTGGGTGTTTCGACATTGTGTCTCTAGTCTGTCAACTAACTTGTGACTGCCCTCATATCTCCCTAATCTCAACTGGCTGTGTCTCAATATTGGTGTGTCTCCACACTGGTGTCTGCAACAACTGTTGCCTACCTCACAGTTGTTGTGTCTCGCTTACACTGTGTCTCAACTTTTGACTGCCCCCTATTCTCCCTACATGACGTTTGTGTCCTCTCAATAACTGGTGTCTCCAACACTGACTGGGTCTCAATTCTCCTATCATCAACAGCTGGTTTGTCTCAATCTTACTGGTGTCTCAACACTGGTGTCTGCCAACACTCCTCCCTACAACACCTGGTTTGTCTCAACACTGGTAGTCCTAGCTCACTGTCCTTCCTTACAATGGCTAACATGTCCCCCCAACACTGGTGTCTCAAACATGGTCGTCATTGCAACACTGGTTATTGAAACTCCAAATACTGTGTCACGTTACTGGTGGTCTCAACACAGAATGTTCTCAGCTACTAATGTCTTAATGTTTAAAAAAAAATCATTAGTTTTAATATAGTCTCACCTGGTGTCTCAATTAGTTAGTTGTGTCTCCTTTACTGCGCTGCACAACCAACCCTCATCTTGGCATCTTCAATGATCGGTGTCCTAGGCATATACTGGTGTCCAGTGGTTTTGCATGTCCTCAAGCTGAATGTCCTCTATACTAACCACTGTCAACACCCAACGTCTCAATCACTGTCTGTCGAAGCTGGGTTGTACCTGGCACTGCAGCATCACGAACTGCTATGTCTCAACACTGAAGCACGTACGCTCACACTGGTGTAAATACAGTACTGTAAATGTAAACTTTAGAATTTAATATAGTGTTCACATGTTTTGTCCATTTATACGGTGTAACTCACAGGTGGTAAACTATACTGTCAACCTGGTAATTCGTCAATACTGTATACTCAACACTGTAAACTTAATACTGGTGTCTCAATACTGGTGTCCATAATGTTAACTGGGTGTGTCATACTACCTTTGTCATACCACAATGTCAAACTGGGTGTCTCACTACTGGTGTCCGACCCGCTGTGTCTCATCACTGGTGTCACAACACATGTCTCACACTGGTGGTCGGAGCTATGGTGTCCCCTCACACTGTGTCCTCAATACTGGTGTCTCAACACTGGTCGGGACATAGTAAGAAAGTCTCGAGACTGGAGTCTCAATACTGTGTCATCAACACTGGTGTCTCAACACTGGTGGTCTCAATACTGTGTCTTCAATACTGTTCCTCATGACAGTATCTCAACTCTGGTGTACTCATACAGATCCTATAAAGTTCTCCACGTTGTCCTCGATACTAGTATCACAAACAAAGAATGTTTTTTAAAATGGTGTCTTAACACTTGTGGCACTCCACACTCGTGTCTCACGTGAGAACTTTATTAGATCTGACTGGTATCCTCAGAGCTATACTGTCATGAGGAGATCTCGCTGTGTTTGGCTCGAGGCTGGCGGCTGTCAGATGGCCATATTTTTCTTCTCTCGAATTTCTGACTGTCCCGACCTTGCCAGTCCCGACCTGGCTGGTTCCCTTAGTCTCCGTCAAGGACTGGTTGACATGGTTGTGATGTGCAGACTGGGCCTGCGGTGATTATAGTTGACAGTATAGTTTACATTGTGGCTTACAATAGGTAGTATACAAAATAGTTAACATTATAGTTGACAGTATAGTTTACATTGTGGCTTACAATATATAGTATAACAAAATAGTTTAACATTATAGTTGGACAGTATAGTTTACATTGTGGTTTACAATATGTAGTATACAATATAGTTAAATTATAGTTGACAGTATAGTTTACACTGTAGCTTACACTATAAATGACAAAACAGTGAACACTATATTAAATTCTAAAGTTTACAGTACTGTATTTATAGAAGTGTGAGCGTCTGTGGCTTTAGTGTGTTCCAACACTGGGCACACTTCGTAATGCTGCAGTGCCAGGTACAACCCCAGCTGCAGACAATTTGTCTTCCGTTGGGGTTTTGACAGTGGTACCCATAGCTGACCATTCAGTAAGACATGGCAAACTACTGAATGTAAAATCTGCCTAGAAAAACAGTCAAAAAATGCTGAGGTTGGTTGTGCAGCGCCCTGTAAAGGATACACAACTAACTAATTAAATATACCGTAACATATATTAAAACTAAAAATTTTTTTTTAAACATTTAACATTATAGCTGAACATCTCTGATATATCTCCACCTTAACATGACAGTGTGGTTTGTGAGTTTCAATAACCCCAAAAGCAATGCCGATCATTGCTTAGCTACTGGTGGTCTCACATGTTAGCCAGGTAAGGAGACAGGAGCTAGACTAAGAGAGACACAAATCAGCTGTCATGTAGGGAGAATTATGGGCAGTCAAAAGTTAGGAGACAGACTAAGAGAGACACAAACCAGCTGTCATGTAGGGAGAATTATGGGCAGTCAAAAGTTAGGAGACAGACTAAGAGAGACACAAACCAGCTGTCATGTAGGGAGAATTGGGGGCAGTCACAAGTTAGGAGACAGACTAAGAGAGACACAAACCGTCATGTAGGGAGAATTGGGGGCAGTCAAAAGTTAGGAGACAGACTAAGAGAGACACAAACCAACTGTCATGTAGGGAGAATTGGGGGCAGTCACAAGTTAGGAGACAGACTAAGAGACACAAAGCAACCGTCATGTAGGGAGAATTGGGGCAGTCACAAGTTAGGAGACAGACTAAGAGAGACACAAACCAGTTGTCATGTAGGGAGAATTGAAGCAATCACAAGTTAGGAGACAGACTAAGAGAGACACAAACCGTCATGTAGGGAGAATTGGGGGCAGTCACAAGTTAGGAGACAGACTAAGAGAGACACAAACCAACTGTCATGTAGGGAGAATTGGGGCAATCACAAGTTAGGAGACAGACTAAGAGAGACACAAACCAGTTGTCATGTAGGGAGAATTGGGGGCAGTCACAAGTTAGGAGACAGACTAAGAGAGACACAAACCAACTGTCATGTAGGGAGAATTGGGGGCAATCACAAGTTAGGAGACAGACTAAGAGAGACACAAACCAACTGTCATGTAGGGAGAATTGGGGCAGTCACAAGTTAGGAGACAGACTAAGAGACACAAACCAACAGTCATGTAGGGAGAATTATGGGCAGTCGAAGCCTACAAAAAGCAAACCAGTGGGAAAAAAAAAACTACCAGTGGAAACGTCATGATGGTGCATGCGGTTGGGAAACACTGTGCCGCATAAATCATTTAATGAGGATATTCTCTTTTACAATTCATGACATGAGACATCAACCTGGATGAATCTCCTAGTGAGTTTACATCAACCTGAATGAATCTCCTAGTAAGTTTACATCAACCTGAATGAATCTCTTAGTGAGTTTCATCAACCTGGATAAATCTCCTAGTGAGTTTACACAAACCTGGATAAATCTCCTAGTGAGTTTACATCAACCTGGATAAATCTCCTAGTGAGTTTACATCAACCTGGATAAATCTCCTAGTGAGTTTACATCAACCTGGATGAATCTCCTAGTGAGTTTACATCAACCTGGATGAATCTCCTAGCAGCTGAGTGAGGTGATGGTTGACATCGTTTGCCTGGATAAATCAAAAATACACTAGTGATGTTACTCAGTCAACCTGAGTATGAATCTCCGGAGGGTTGAGTTTCAGTGCGATCAACAATGGGAATCATTGAATCTCCTGCGTGAGTCACCTTTATTTTTGTACCGGGACACGCCTCGATGAAATGAAAGAGCTCCTAGTGGATTATCACTACCGACCTGGATGAATCATCCTAGATATTATACATGCCCTCAACCTGGATAAATCTCCTAGTGGCAGTGAATCCACATCAACCTGGATGAATGTCCACAGTGAGTTTACATCACACCTGGATAAATAATCAACTAGAACTGGACTATTACATCGGACGTTGGATAGGGGAGGATCTCTATGGACATATGGAGTGCAATTACGATAACCCAACTAACCTGGATAAATCTCCTAGTGAGTTTACATCAACCTGGATGAATCTCCTAGTGAGTTTACACCAACCTGGATGAATCTCCTAGTGAGTTTACATCAACCTGGATGAATCTCCTAGTGAGTTTATATCAACCTGGATGAATCTCCTAGTGAGTTTATATCAACCTGGATGAATCTCCTAGTGAGTTTATATCAACCTGGATGAATCTCCTAGTGAGTTTATATCAACCTGGATAAATCTCCTAGTGAGTTTAAATCAACCTGGATGAATCTCCTAGTGAGTTTATATCGACCTGGATGAATCTCCTAGTTAGTGAGTTTACACAAACCTGGATGAATCTCCTAGTGAGTTTACACAAACCTGGATGAATTTCCTAGTGAGTTTACACAAACTTGGATAAATCTCCTAGTGAGTTTACACCAACCTGAATGAATCTCCTAGTGAGTTTACACCAACCTGGATAAATCTCCTAGTGAGTTTACATCGACCTGGATGAATCTCCTAGTGAGTTTACACCTAACCTGGATAAATCTCCTAGTGAGTTTACACCAACCTGGATAAATCTCCTAGTGAGTTTACATCGACCTGGATGAATCTCCTAGTGAGTGTACACCAACCTGAATGAATCTCCTAGTGAGTTTACACCAACCTGGATAAATCTCCTAGTGAGTTTACATCGACCTGGATGAATCTCCTAGTGAGTTTACATCAACAGAAGTAATTGACAGACATGATGTCAAACACTGCAAGTCATGGACTGGAAAAATAGTCTTTTTTAACTTTCTCACAAAGCGGAACACAATCAACAACCGTGACTCACTGCTGTGTTTGGGTTCAGCTGCCTGTCATAGGTCCACAGAGCTGAGTTGGGCCGCTGCTGTCTCTGGTGCTCCACTGGGGACAGATATTCTTCAGCTTCCATCACACTTTCGGAGCCATCTGCACTAATCCCATGCACAAGCTCATTCTTATCATAGGATACACTGGGCAACCGCATCAAAGCATCACCCTGGGGAAAAATCAGATTAATGTTTTTATACCAATATAGTCAACAGGGAGTTTTAAAGTTTAAAAAAAAACACGTTTCACTTGTGACCTATTTTAAGCAGGTAATGATAAATCTTTCTGGACCACATTTTTTCTGGGGCTTGGACAGCATTAATTTTGAGCGGAATTTTTTAACTACAACACCACAAAGCTAAAATCTTCCTGAAAAAAAAGTATTGGCTGTATCAGGACATATAATATATGAAATTAAAGATAAAGTCCCAGTTTGTGCCACTGGAGAATATATTTTGTTGTGTTATTAAAATTGCTATGGAACAAAAACTATTGTACATTTTGTTTTAATATTGGCTGTGCATACTTATAAATGGTGTGCCTTCCTTTGTGATGCATTTAAGATATACTATATCACGAATTTTGGGATCAGCTTTTGGGTAAGTGGAAAAAACTTGTTCATAATTTACTAACTTTTCAAACTAAGTCACTGTTTTCTTTACTAAATACTAACAAACGGTATAATAGTTTGTTGTAGCAGTATGCTAATATTAATCCTATCCATTTATGTTTATTTTCATGTATGATATGTGTATGTTGCACATCAGCTGCAGTTGTGTGGTTTTCTTTAAAGTGCTGCACTTGTTAAAAGTCCAAATCATATTAACCCCCCCTCCACCTCTCCTTGGGCCTCTGATGCAAAAAACCTCTGGGACTCAAAGAGTTAAAGAAATAAAACCATTAAAAATCAACTTACCTCAATTACTAGGTAACGGCCAGGATCTCGAGACATTTTTGCAAATTCCTCTTGAAGTTCTTTAAATGAAGGTCTAGAATCTGCATCAAGCATCCAACCTGGCACGATGATATAATAAAGATAAAACTGTTAGAAAATATGAAATAAACCATGTCAGTTATTATGATCTCATTTCAATCTACATGCTTATATTTAAACATATTGTTTAAACATTTATCCCAATTGATCTTTGACGAGTGAGTTATAATTCTTGGATTATTGTTTTAAAACAAATATTTATATTATGCATATATTTCTTTGACTGGTCCTAACCATTGCTAAAGAGTTTGGGCACTGTACTCAGATTCTCTATACGAGATCTTTTTGAGGAAACTGGAAAACTGATGGAGTTATCTACATGCATGGAAACTGGAAAACTGATGCATGGAAAGTCATTTTGACTCAAAACCCATTGACAGGAAGACAAAGAAATATGGTTTTTTTAAACAAATGATGAACATACCTGGTATAGCCAAAATGAGTAAATTAATTTTTTTTGGAAAAAAGACTAAGACACCGGGCTTAATATTGCAAATATATGAAGTTAGCAAATGATGTTTTTAGTTGAAAAGAGAAATATTGAAAAGTGTTGTAACAACAGGACAGATTTTCAGACCTAAAGAAAGAGAAAATTGGAAAAAAAAAAATCTTAGCAGTTTTTCACTGTGGCATGGAGAAGTTTCTGCCCAAGAAAGGATACCTTCTGTTGGCAATAGCAAGAGAATAAGATAGTTAATAATATTTCTGTGATTACATAGAGATACTTCATACGTGCTAAAGTCTCATTCAGTTGATCAAATTACAACTTCAGCTCTGTGCTTAAACTCCACAGAACCAATGAGAATCCACAGGCCTGTGTGCATGTGTGTGTGTGTGTGTAGCTTTTGTAATTTGGCAAGTTTAGCTGTGCAGTGACTTATTTCTTCTTCTTCTTCTTTCGTTCGCCTGAAATAGACTATCAATATCTGCAATGTTGTCTTTAGTAAGAACTTCACTGTCTTTCATAATTCACTCAGCGAATCAGTGACTTATTTTATTTGGCCAGCTCAATTTTATTTCCAGCTGCTGAGGGATTTTTAACCGGTCCTCCACATTTGTCACCCTTGTTTGAGAGAGCTACATTTTCAATCTGCTACATTTTCAATCCGCTACATTTTCAATCCACTACATTTTCAGTCTGCTAAATTTTCAATGCGGCGCCCGTGGCTTAGGCGTTGCGAGTCCGACTCGTAATCCAGCATACCGCGATCGAAACCCACTGCTGGCTGCGTGGATTTTTATCATGGTATGGGACGTCGCAGGTCGACCCAGCCTTAAATGGGTACCAGGATGGGCTGTCCTAGGAAAGTAAAGACGGCCGGCGTAATGCTGACCACATTACCCACCGAGTGTTGATGGTCTGTAAAAATATGGGCGCTCTTCCCATATGCCCGATGCGCCTAAAAGGCATGGAAAGGGATCTTTACTTTTTTTCTTTACTTTTTACATTTTCAATCCACTACCTCACAAGGAAAGGAAAATCCATCTTTACTTTTTTTCTTTACTTTTTACATTTTCAATCCACTACCTCACAAGGAAAGGAAAATCCATCTTTATTTTTTTGGGTAAAAGTACAGTAAACTCTTAAACATGGCTCTGAGACATGGATACCAGGTCTGCTTAAACATGGCTCTGAGACATGGATACCAGGTCTGCTTAAACATGGCTCTGAGACATGGATACCAGGTCTGCTTAAACATGGCTCTGAGACATGGATACCAGGTCTGCTTAAACATGGCTCTGAGACATGGATACCAGGTCTGCTTAAACATGGCTCTGAGACATGGATACCAGGTCTGCTTAAACATGGCTCTGAGACATGGATACCAGGTCTGCTTAAACATGGCTCTGAGACATACCAGGTCTGCTTAAACATGGCTCTGAGACATGGATACCAGGTCTGCTTAAACATGGCTCTGAGACATACCAGGTCTGCTTAAACATGGCTCTGAGACATACCAGGTCTGCTTAAACATGGCTCTGAGACATACCAGGTCTGCTTAAACATGGCTCTGAGACATGGATACCAGGTCTGCTTAAACATGGCTCTGAGACATTCCAGGTCTGCTTAAACATGGCTCTGAGACATGGATACCAGGTCTGCTTAAACATGGCTCTGAGACGTGGATACCAGGTCTGCTTAAACATGGCTCTGAGACGTGGATACCAGGTCTGCTTAAACATGGCTCTGAGACGTGGATACCAGGTCTGCTTAAACATGGCTCTGAGACGTGGATACCAGGTCTGCTTAAACATGGCTCTGAGACGTGGATACCAGGTCTGCTTAAACATGGCTCTGAGACCAGGTGGATACAGGTCTGGTCTGCTTAAACATGGCTCTGAGACGTCTGGATACCAGGGCTCTGCTTAAACATGGTCTGCTGAAACATGGCTCTGGATACCAGGTCTGCTTAAACATGGCTTGGAACCAGGTCTGCTTAAACATGGCTCTGAGACGTGGATACCAGGTCTGCTTAAACATGGCTCTGAGACGTGGATACCAGGTCTGCTTAAACATGGCTCTGAGACATGGATACCAGGTCTGCTTAAACATGGCTCTGAGACGTGGATACCAGGTCTGCTTAAACCAGGCTCTGAGACATGGATACCAGGTCTGCTTAAACATGGCTCTGAGACGTGGATACCAGGTCTGCTTAAACATGGCTCTGAGACGTGGATACCAGGTCTGCTTAAACATGGCTCTGAGACATGGATACCAGGTCTGCTTAAAAACATGGCTCTGAGACATGGATACCAGGTCTGCTTAAACATGGCTCTGAGACATGGATACCAGGTCTGCTTAAAACATGGCTCTGAGACATGGATACCAGGTCTGCTTAAACATGGCTCTGAGACATGGATACCAGGTCTGCTTAAACCATGGCTCTGAGACATGGATACCAGGTCTGCTTAAACATGGCTCTGAGACATGGATACCAGGTCTGCTTAAACATGGCTCTGAGACATGGATACCAGGTCTGCTTAACATGGCTCTGAGACATGGATACCAGGTCTGCTTAAACATGGCTCTGAGACATGGATACCAGGTCTGCTTAAACATGGCTCTGAGACATGGATACCAGGTCTGCTTAAACCAGGCTCTGAGACATGGATACCAGGTCTGCTTAAACATGGCTCTGAGACATGGATACCAGGTCTGCTTAAACATGGCTCTGAGACATGGATACCAGGTCTGCTTAAACATGGCTCTGAGACATGGATACCAGGTCTGCTTAAACATGGCTCTGAGACATGGATACCAGGTCTGCTTAAACATGGCTCTGAGACATGGATACCAGGTCTGCTTAAACATGGCTCTGAGACATGGCTGCTGAGACATGGCTCTGAGACATGGATACCAGGTCTGCTTAAACATGGCTCTGAGACATACCAGGTCTGCTTAAACATGGCTCTGAGACATGGATACCAGGTCTGGCTTAAACATGGCTCTGAGACATGGATACCAGGTCTGCTTAAACATGGCTCTGAGACATACCAGGTCTGCTTAAACATGGCTCTGAGACATGGATACCAGGTCTGCTTAAACATGGCTCTGAGACGTGGATACCAGGTCTGCTTAAACCAGGCTCTGAGACATGGATACCAGGTCTGCTTAAACATGGCTCTGAGACATGGATACCAGGTCTGCTTAAACATGGCTCTGAGACATGGATACCAGGTCTGCTTAAACCAGGCTCTGAGACATGGATACCAGGTCTGCTTAAACATGGCTCTGAGACATGGATACCAGGTCTGCTTAAACATGGCTCTGAGACATGGATACCAGGTCTGCTTAAACCAGGCTCTGAGACATGGATACCAGGTCTGCTTAAACATGGCTCTGAGACATGGATACCAGGTCTGCTTAAACATGGCTCTGAGACATGGATACCAGGTCTGCTTAAACATGGCTCTGAGACATGGATACCAGGTCTGCTTAAACATGGCTCTGAGACATGGATACCAGGTCTGCTTAAACATGGCTCTGAGACATGGATACCAGGTCTGCTTAAACATGGCTCTGAGACATGGCTCTGAGACATGGCTCTGAGACATGGATACCAGGTCTGCTTAAACATGGCTCTGAGACATACCAGGTCTGCTTAAACATGGCTCTGAGACATACCAGGTCTGCTTAAACATGGCTCTGAGACATGGATACCAGGTCTGCTTAA